CCGGGTTAGGGGTGCGTCCGGTCCGCCCGCCGTCGCCGCCGCCGCCGCGCAAGGCCGGCGCAAAGTTCGCCGCCGGGCCAGCGTCCCACCCCGCGGCGGGCAAGCGGGCGGCTGACAGGCGCAGGCGGGGACGGTCAGGGGAGCCCTCTCAGCGCCGCGCCTCCCCGGCCGCCGGCGAATTCCGGGGGGGAGGGGAGGGGGCCAGGACGCTCCCTCCCCGCGCCACCGAGGCCGGGCGGAGGGACCTCGCCGCCGTCCGGGCGCCGCGCACCCCGAGCACCCCGAGCCGCCACCCGCTCCTCCGCCCTCCTCCCCCTTCACTACCTGGAGGTGCCCGCGACCCGCCGCTAGTTGCGCTCAGGCGGGAAACGCGCTCACCGACACCATCAGCGAAGCGCCCAAAATGGCGGACGTATCAAGCAGGCCTTGAGTTCCCCCTTCCCACCCTCCAGCCGCCTCGCGGCCAATTGCGATCCTGACCCTGCCTCCAGCTCCACCTCATTGGCCTTCCTCTCCCGCCCCCTGCAGTCTATTGGAGCGCCCAGCGTGCCCCGTTGCACTCACTCCAATTGGCTTTCAGGACCCGTCAGTCAAGCGCGAGAGGCGCATTTTTTTTCCCATGGACTTGACGGATCCGGAATCTCTAGGACCCCCGGCGTCTGGAGAAACAAATCAGAAACCGGGAGAAACCCGGCTGGGACCCCTTACGCCGTAGCAACAGTAGGTCCTCCCTTAGATGGACGTGTCGGACCACCAATCCGATAGCCAATGCTTTTTAAAACTCAACTGAGCCAAACCAATCGTGGTCGTGGAGCTGGGAACTGCAAGAGAACCAATGGGGCAGCGAGATGGGCGGGCGGGTCGGAGGGTCTGGAGGAAACCGGTGATGACGTGAGCCACAATGTGTACCCACCGCGGAAGTGACAAGCAGCTGGGGAATTAGCTCAAATGGTAGAGCGCTCGCTTAGCATGCGAGAGGTAGCGGGATCGATGCCCGCATTCTCCACACTTGAGTTTTATAAAGCAAACGGGATTCATGAACACGTCATACTCTCTTCGTGAGAAAAAGGTGGCTGTCCCAGGAGCGGGGTCCAGTTCCCTTAACCGTTTGAAGAGAAATGTGCGAACTAGGGAGTCCCTTTTGTCCCACGACCTTCCTCCGAAAGCCGGGCCCCCGAGGAGCAGCCCACCTTGTGCACTTACTAATAATAACCTGCCTTATTCCTAAAAGCACGGCAAGAGGGCGACATTTGTCGGCGGGGCTGAGAAAGGCAGGCGGCAAGGTTAGCGCCCGTGAAACCGAGCTCAGTGGACGCAGCATCACGCCCACGGGTGTGCGCGCAGTGCGGGGGAGGCCAGGGCTGCGGGTGCTCTGCATGCGTGGGCAGCCCGCCAGTGCGCGCCTGCTCTGCCCGGCCCGTGGGGGGCCTGGCTCACGCGCAGTGGGGGCCGTCAGGCACCACCCAGGTAACACCGGGGAGTGGTATGTGAAACAGGCCGCAGAGGGGTGGGGACCCTCCCTGAGCAGGTGGCATTGCCACCCATGGGCAGGGAGGACAGGACCGCAAGCCGGAGTAGCACAGGACCAGAGGGGCAAGCTCAGGGCTGGACCCAGGAGCATGCGGGCAGGCTACAGGGAACAGCAGGACAGGGCTGGGACCTGCCCTCCTGGACACCTGGGGCGGGCCCAGCTACCCACCGGTTTCGTTACTCATTCATCATCCAAGGACTTGCCGGTACCTGCCTCAGGCTCCTCCATCCCAGACTCTGAGGGGGGTCACCGGGCCTTGTGCACTGTAATTAAATGAAATAATGCAGTGCTTCCGGCAACGTCAGTGGGTCCCAAACGTCTCCAGTTATTATAACTCCTAAGCTAGCAAGTTCAACCTTTTTTATTCCATGGCACACATAAACGAATTACTAAAATTCTGCAGCACACCAAAAAATATATTTTTTGCCAATTTGACACCCCAAAAAAGGTATAATTTTGATTCATTCACACCAGATGGCTATTTTGTTGGCTGTCATATTTTTTATTTGACAATCTAAGGGAAAAGAGGTCAGTGCCCCTGACTAAATAGTCAGGTATTGCATGTTTTAAAAATCCTAACACAATCCATAGGGTTGAAATCAGGAGAACTTCCTGAAGGAGGAGACATTTGAGTCAGCCAATCATCAAGAGCCAGGGGGCTTTAAGGAGGAGAGTGACTTTGAAACTCTGCATTGGCCTTATCATTGTAGAATTTTTAGATTTCACAGATTACTACCTTCCCCTTTTTCTCTCTAATCTTTTTGTGATTTAATTTTTAATGTTAAAATTTTCAAACCATCTAGACTTTTTTAAAATTAATATAATTTCACACACACTCAACAATAGAGAGGAACCTATAATGAACGCCCATGTGCCCATCACCCAATTATTACTCCTTAATTTTGGGAACAGACATAGAACTGCCCGATTTTAATTCTATCAAGTAATGATTTTTAAAAATATCATTTATTATCATGATTTCATAAAAGGACATTTGTACACACACATACACTCAAGAAAGATTAACTCGGGATAAAGAAAAGGTTTTTTAACTGAATAAGCTCCTCTTGAGGACAAAGACATCCCCCATTGGCTTTCCTTTTGTTATGTTACCAGGGCTCAGACCTGATCTGAGGGCTGGAGTGGGGCCACCCTGGGGAAGGCCATGCTCTGGGGAGGGGCCTGGGCTGGTGCTGGGTCAGGTCAAGACCTGTTGTGACTGGAGACAAGGGGCCAGAAAGGGAGTTCTATTGGGGTGTGAAGGGTAGACCCATTTTAACTTGGAAATTTAACTCTTCTGCTTCTTTTCTCCCCCCCACATTCAGATTCAATCTGGGAGGGGGGAGGTATTTCCTTTTCCACATAGGAATGTTGGTAGCTCAACTGTCAGTAGAAAGGGGAACTGCTGGGGTTGCTAACCATTAGGGCCACCAGTGAGCTTATGGGGAAAGTAGAGAGAAGTGGGCATTTGGGTGGAGAGAGACATAGAGGGGTGGGAATCTGGGTGAGGACCTCCAGAGAGGAGGCAGCAAGGGTGGGACCAACAAGGGGGGGTCCCAGTGCTGTGAAGAACCAGCTGAGTGGTTCTCGAGAAGGTGCCCCAGGGTGGCCAAGTGGGACCCAAACCCTTCCCAACCATCCAGGTCTGTCTGGGACAGAACATTCCACATTACCCACATCCTGGTTCCCTACATCCTGCCTGGCAATGGACATGCCCAAGATCTGGCCACATGGATTCTGTCCGGCTGCCCAGGGCAGCCATGGCCCCCAGGGGGCTGCTGGACCCGGACAGGGAGGAGATCCCACACCCATCCTGGAACAGCATGTCATAGGTGTCACCGCAGATGTTGGAGGGAAGGTACAAGTCCTTTTGGCCAGGTTGAGTAGCACTCACTAGTCAATTAGTAACATTTATTGGATAAAGGAATGGTTTGCCCTAGCTGGTTTGGCTAGGTGGACAGATTGTCAGCCCAATCACGGACCCTTGTCCATGGTTCAATTCCAGCCAAGGGCATGTACCTTGCTGGTTCCCGTGGTCAGGGTGTGTGCAGGAGGCAACCAATCAATGTGTCTCTCTCACATCGAAGTTTCTCTCTGTCTCTCCCTTCTCCCTCCCACTCTCTCTAAAAATCAATGGAAAAAATATCCTGGAGTGAGGATTAATCAAAATAAATAATAAAATGAAAAAAATATATTTCTTTTTAAAAGGAATGATTGAACAAATTATTGAACAAGCCTTGGTTTCCTTAACTACCAATTGAGGATACCATCTGCCTAGCTGGTCTATTGTGAAGTTTAAATGAAAAAAGCTGGGTTAATGTCATCCTCCCATTTAAGACACAGCTGAAACACACCTCCTCCAGGAAGCCTTCCCATCTGAACGTGATACCCTCTCTGGGCCCCCGATACCCCCATGGCTTTGGAAACTGCCGGCCTCTATCACTGGATTCAGAGCACCTTCAAGGGAGGACATCTAATGTCTGGGTCCCCCAGCATGTGACTTAAGTGCAGGGCCCTGCACACAGTGGGTGCTTACTGAAGGCTGACAGACTGACCTGGCACATGGAAGACCAGAGCAGGTTGTCCTCCACTCCCTCTAGCTGACCACACGGCAGGAAAGCATGCAGGGGAGTGGCCTCTGGCCACCAGATGGCACCCCTAGCCATGCAATGGCTCCATCGGGGCTGGGTTGGGTGCTAGGGGAGTGAGGGGGAGGGCTGCAATGGGTGACTCTCCCTACCACCCCCACCCCCAGCCCACACAGGCCACCAGGTGTCAGCAGACCAGGCCACTCCTTCCCTTCCCCTTGCCTGATCCCGGGCAGACCCTTGCAGACTGAATGTCTGGCTGGATAGGAGAACGCAGCAGGTGTGCTCCAGGGGATCCCCAAAGCATGAGTGAAGGGTAAGAAAGTGAAGGGAGGGTCTCCTAGGGGATCCCCACAATGCAGCCACTGCTTCTGAGTCAGCGAAAGTGACCTCCACTTCCTGCTTGGCTGCCCAGGTGGAGATTGGTGCTTTAATTAGCACCTCAGGGTGTGTGCTCCAACCTGGAAGAACAGGAATCCTGGGTGCTTGGCAGCTCTGTGGGGCAGAGAACCCCACCTTGGGCTGAGACCCTGGGTGCACCATCTAGCTCTGCCGGTCCTTAGCGGTGTGACCTTGAGCAGGTGTGTCACCTCTGAGCTTTAACGTGGCCCAGCGCCCATTCACCAAGGACCTGCTGCTTCAGCCAGGCAGACTGGGCGAGGCGTCTTCATGGGCATTTATCTCTTGGAAGCCTTCCAGCCGTCCAAGGGGTGGTGACGGCACCTTTCTTAACAGATGGGGCCAGCTGGCCTTCCCAGATGCAGTCTGACCCCTCCTGCTTGCAAAGGGGCCTGAGCATAGGTCCCGCCAGGTGGCCCCGGCAGCCCTGGGTTGGAGCTCAGCACTGGCTTCTGGTGTTTACTGTTGTTTTGTACTGTCCCCAGCATCTGCCCTCCGTCAGTGGCAGAAGCATCCACAATCAGGGGACAGGGGAGGTGATTCCTGAAGGTCCATCCTTGAGGTCCCCAGCTCTGTCTGTCCCCTGGCCAAGCAGTCTTGGAGTGCTAAGGGCCTCTGCCTTCCCACCGCCTCAGCGCCAGAGCTACAGGATCCAGTGCATTCTGGGGCCCCCTTGTGGGAGGCCATCTGGCAGCTGATCCATTCACCTCGCTCAGCTGTCACCTCTGTATCCAGGCCCTGGAGGGGGGACGGCTCAGGGTCCTGTTGGGAGGCCCTCCTTCCAGATCTCTGCTGACTCCCAGCTCTATGCGTGGGGAGTCTTCCATGACCCACCTTAGACATTCCAATTAGAGTCAGGCCCTTCCCGGCTTCCCCTGGCCCCGGGAGAACAGCCCAGCTTCGTTACGACACACCGTTGCTTGCCGACTTCTCTGTCTCCTTCCACAGATGGGGACCCCAGGGGCAGGAACCAGGCCTCATCTAGTTGTCTCCTCCCATACTACCCAGATGGGCACATCGCAAACCTCGGACAGCGTTCACCGACTGACTGTGTGAGGAACGGGAAGGAGGGGCCAGGGCAGGCTGGGGGCTTCCTTCCCTGGGGAGAGTGTGGCCTGGCAGCCCCATCCACTGTGCCCACAGGATGGCAGGACCAGGAGGCGCCCCTAGTCTCCAGCACTGTCTTGATGGGCACAGCAGCCTGGGTTGGCACACACAGGCCAGGAACAGCCCAAAGCCCAGCTATTTAATCTGCAAAACCTAGTGCAAAATTAAAACACAGGGCCTCTTTCTCAAAAACTATTTATAATTTCAGGATGGCAACAGCTGAGACGAAATCAAGCCCGAGGCCCTTCACGACTGCACCCATGACGCTGGCCCTGCCCGCTGGCCTTTGCCCTCCCACGCGGGAGCCTGATGAAGCGAGACGCCTGGGCCAGGAGGACAAAGGCTGTCCGGGGAGGGCCAGAGGTCGGAGTTCGCTCCGTGGGGACACTCCCCTCCAACGCACACATGGCACAGAAGAATGGCAGTGATGTTAAAAAAAAAAAAAAAAAAAAAGGTTTATAAATATTTTCTCCACTGTACAAAGTTTCCCCAGCCCTGCCCACCCATCACGGTTCACATTTCTCATGTTTTTAAAAATCCCAACTATATTTATTTTTTAAATCATAAAATATATTTTTTCTTTGTTCATATTTAAAACTATTTACAGGGGCGCAGAGAGGCCAGGGGGGCCCGGCCGAGGTCAGGACGAGTCCGTGCAGGGGGACGGCGGGGGCGGGAAGAGGTGGAAATAGCTCCTCTCCGTGGCGGCTGGCGAAGGGGGGCAGCTGTCCTCCGCCGACAGGTACTGGCTGTGGGGGGTGGGCGGGGGCGGGTAGGGGTCTGAGTCAGAGTTCAAATCCAGGTAGTACTTGCTGGCCTTCCAGCGGCTGGCGCTGTAGTCGCTGTCACACACGTCAGTGCTGCAAGGCGTTGTCGGGGGCGCTATGCCACGGATGATATAGGGCCTGCACGGGACAAAGAAAGCGGGGTGGGGCTTGATTTGAGGACCGGATGGGCACAGGGGTCCCCCAGTCACGTGGCCTCTGCACCTCCACATCCCCATCTCTAAGTAGATGTGCCTCCACCTCCCTGGCAGGGCTCCCAAGCCTAGGCCCTGGTGAGCATGGCAGCCCCAGGCCAAAGTCACCTTTACGGAGAACAAGGCCTGCAGAGCCTACCGGGTTGACCCTGGGCAACTTACTTAACCCCTCTTCGCTTCAGCTTCTCACTGATGAAATGGGGAGAATGGAGCAGCACCCATTTCAAAAGGGACTTGTGAGGGTTAAATGAGATTCTGCATAGAAAATGCTCCAAACTCCCTGATAGGAGAAAAGTGCTCAGCGACCATTCCCCCTTATATACTGTCCCTCTGGCTTGGAAGGGTCCCATCTTGGGTTCAAGAAACCTGACCCCAGAGGAACCACCCAGCTGTCCTCCATGAGGGCATCGCCGCCCAGACACCTCCTGCGCGCTGAACCCTGCGTCGGGCTGCCACGCGGCCTGCGTGTGGGGCTGGGATCGTGGTGTGTTTATGAGCCCCAGCTCCAGGCCACAGGGGGCTCACAGGGGCAGGAAGGAGGAGCCAGCAAGGGGTGCCTGGTACTGAGGAAAGTGTTTAGGGGGAGGATTCCCCTCACAGGACCCCAGGAGCAGAAAGGGACCCCAACAGGCAGTGGGAAGGGAAGAGGTATCAGAGGTGACACCCAAATCAGGGCAGAACAAGGCATGGGGTATTCCAGAGACTGAGGGGCCCAGCCTGGCTGGTGTGGGTGTGACAGCCCTGGGGCAGTGGCCTACGAGGCTGCTGGGGACAGACCCGGCCTGAGGCACTGGGGAGCCACTGCAGGTCCTTGAACAAGGCAGTGACCAGTAAAGAGGTGTGTTTCTCCAGAGCTCGGCCCGGAGTTCCCGAAACGGCCACTAGATGGCAGGTGACGCCTCGCTCAGTCTCCACCGTGCCAGGTGACTCAGTAAAGAGGGGCCTCCAACACTCCAGAGCTTCTGCCTGCACCTGGGCAGCCTGGGCATGTGCCAGAGCCCACCCCCACCCACTCCATCAGATAGTTCACTTGGGGTGAGGGGCCCAGTGCACCTGGAGCCCAGCTGGCTGAGACCACCAGGTTGAAGTCAGAAGGGTCACCCCCCACCCCACCCCCCACCCCAGGCCATGATTGGCCCCTGGACACAGACCAGCACACAGATCCCACTTCTCCTTAACATGCTCAAGTGCCCCCTTCCCACCAAGGGAGGTGGGGTCTGTGACCCCAATGTAGACCACGTGGAGGATGATAGCGGGGGGGGGGGGGGGGGGGGCAAGGCAGAGCCACCCCAGCACTCATGTGGATTAGATGTGATCCCCGGCATCACTGCCAGGGTCCCATAGCCATGCCAAGATCGGAATGAGTGGGAGCATTCTTCCAGGCCCCATCTGCCTGTCCCGGCTTAAGAGCCACTCAGATTTGGGATCCGGTGGGCTTCTGGCCTCAAAACACAGACCCGGTCCTCTGGTGTGGAGGGCAGCCCGGTGAGGAGGAGAAGAGCCAGGGGAGGCAAGACTAGGGTCCATCATGTGCTCATAACCACCCTGAACCTCTCCCAGGTTCCTCCTCCTAGGAAACATGGACCAGACCCTCCCAGCCACAGGCTCCCCTGGAGGCCCAGCCAGCCACTCCCACCAGGGCGGTGCAGGGACTGCTCACCTGTAGGGCCTGGCGGGGGCGGGAATGTTCGAAGAGTAGAATACGTCCACGTTGTACATGGAGGGGTCCGTGGCGGGGGACGGCGGTGGGTTCAGGATCTGCGGAGAGCCAAGCGGGGGTCAGAGGCCCAATGCAGCTGTGTGGTCCTGCCACCGCCGCCAGGTGTCCCCCCAGAGCAGGAGGTGCGGGTCCACACTGGACAGACCAGCTCAGCAGGCCCACACCTCCCAGGCCCCCTTGTCTGGTGAGGAAGTTTACCTGTTTGGGCCATGGTTTCCTCATCTCTAAAACGGGGCTGAGAAGACCTGCTTCCCCGGTCAGGGTCTGTCCTGACACGTGGTGAGTCACCACAAGAAGTACCCTTCCCCTGCCCTCAAAATAACAAGCCCAGCTGGTGGCTCAGTGGTTGAGCACTGACCCAGGAAGCAAGAGGTTGCCAGTTCAATTCCTGGTCAGGGCATGGGCTTGATCCCCTGGAGGGGGCATGCAGGAGGCAGCTGATCAACAACGTTTCTCTCTCATTGATGTGTCTATTTCTCTGTGCCTCTCTCTCTAAAAATCAATACAAACCTTTTTTTGAAAGGTAAAAAAATCACTCTCTTTTTTTGGAAAATAAAGTCCATACTCTTGTGTACTTGCTGATGTAACATTACTCAGGAAGCACACACAAGAATCTTGCCATGGAATGTTGCTCTAAGGGGGTCCCTGCTCATGTTGGGAGGGGCCCCCTTCCCTGCGCATTCTATTGTGCCTTTTGAATTCTGTACCATGAACATGCGTTACTGATGCAAAATCGTGTCGTTACTTTAAAAATAGCTGGCTCCATGTGGTTTCTTTTTGGGGTGATGAAAATGTTCTAAAATGAACCATGGCGATGGTTGCACATATCTATGAATATACTAAAAACCACTGAACTGTACAGCTTAAGTGGGTGAGTTGTATGGTACATAAGTTATATAAAAAACAACAATGGTTGGGCCCTGGCCAATATGTGTCAGTGGTTAGAGTGTTGGCCCACGCACCGAAGGGTCACGGGTTCGACTGTCAGTCAAGGGAACGTACCTGGGTTGCGGGTTCACTCCCCACCCGATTGGGGCGTGTGTGAGAGGCAACTGGTCGATGAGTCTCTCCCGGGTTGATGTTTCTCTCTCCCTCTCCCCCCTCCCCTCGCTCCCTCCCTTCCATTCTCTGAAAGTGAGGACTAACAACAGCAACAAAAAAACCCAGCTGGCTGTTCATGTCACCTCTTGCTGCCTAATAAGATCCCCAGCTCCCAGCAGAGCCTGGGACAGAAAAGGCAGTCTCCTGAGCCTCCGGTGTCTGCACGGGAGGCCAAGGGGCTGCTTCCTGAGGCAAGCTCGGCCTCACAGGGGTTCCCGGTGCCTCCGGTGCCTCCGGCTGGTTCCGTGGGGCATGTGAGAGTCAGCAGGGAGGACGAGAGGAGTGGTGGTTGGTATTTTTAAACTCCAGGCTTCTGGGTCCTACCTGCCTCTGCCCCGAAACGCAGTCGGGTCCTGGAGCCTCCAGGAGACTCAGTTCCCGTCCTGCGAACCCCAGATAACAGCTTCTGCTGCCCCCTCCTCCCCTTCCAGGCCTGCCAAGCTCAGGGCCGATAAGGAGGAGGCAACACCCTGGACGTGCGGGACACCCAGAGGGGCAGGAAGGCCTGGCCCTGGCAGGTGGGCTTGCTGGAGACCCCAGAGAAAGCTCCAGGGGCTGCCCTCACCGTGGAACATCCAGTCACAGGGAGTCAGGTTTCAAAGGATTAAAAACAGACCCCTCAGACTCCGATGTTTATATACACACAGGCTCACCTGCGTGCCTCAAGCTCGCCAGTCACCCTGGAGCTGTGCTCTTGGAAAAGAGGGTACCCCAGCCAACCTCAGGGAGAGGGTTCCCACGAGGGACCCCCCAGCGGGACTCGGACACTGTACAGTTGTTCTGCTACCAGGTGTGAATTGGTGAGAGCCAGCCCCTCACCCCACTGGGGCTGCCCGCAGCTCCAAGGAGCATTTCAGCCACAAAAGTCACCCCATGAGGGCCTGCCCTTTAGAAAACAACCCAGCTCTTTTCTGGGAACCAGCAAGAACTTGGTTGGAAAACAGAGTGTTCCTGGTGGGGATGCTGAGGGGGGCTTGCACAGGGACCCCTGAGCACCCCATGTAGACAGCGTGCAGAACAGAGACTGCGCTCGGACAGTGAAATGCCTGCTAGCAACCAAGGAGGTGGGAAGATGGGTGGAACTTCCGTTCGAGACTTTTGTGTGGTTCCCAGATCATCCCCGATGAACAAGGCGTGCCCTTTTCTCAACTGAAACAGTGTCGCTGGAGAGGAAAATGGCAGGCTTGTAGGGGAGGAAGGGGAATCCTCTGGTGGAACAGCGATTAGTCTAGGAATCCTGAGGTCCCAGAGGCGTCCCCCGGCCAGCCAGGCCTCCTCCCGCCCCCACTCACCGGCGGGTACAGCGTGGCCTTGGTGCTGGAGGAGCTGCTGGACGAGGCCCCGGTGACGTGGTTCCGGTCGTAGAGGGGCACCCCGCCCCGGCCCCCCATCAGGCTCACGGAGCTCATCATGGACTTGCCGCATGAGATGCCTGCGGGGGGAGGGGAGAGGGCAGGTCAGGCTGGGGTACCCCACAGACACAGAGGGCCCTCCACAGCTCCTGCCGCCCACAAGACGGCAGGTGAGGTCCAGGTGAGTAAGGCCCTCTGCCCACCACCAGTGTGAGCCTCATCTGTAAAACGGGGAGACCCACAGACCTCCCCCAGGTGCCACTGTGGGCCTGCGGGAGTGAACTCAGAGGGTCTCAGCACAGGGTCGCCTGGCACAGAGAGGGCCCCGTTCTCCAGGGACTGCTGCACCGGTGACCCTCGGGCCTCCCGGAGCTCTGGAGAAACCCCTGACCACTCCCACATCCAAGCAGAATCAGGCCTCATCTGCACACAGACGTCAGAGTCCCAGCAAGGCCGGCTCTGGGCAGGGGAACAGGACAGGAGAGAGGGACCCAGGGCTGGGCAGGCACCGAGGACTCCCCAAGGTGGCCCTGAGATGACCTCAGTGACCCTCTCGGGGCTGAGCACTGACTGACCCCACCTCCCTGGCCGTGACGTGAACAGTGGGCTCAGCCTGGCAGTGCCACCTGGGAATCCACACCTGTGGCCTCAGGTCCCTGCTCCTGGTGGACTACACCTCACCGTGGTTTTAACTGTGCAGCCGCCGTCCTAACTGCGCTCAGGACAAAACTGCTTGTTATATACCCAGTGACTCTGATTCTAGAGCGAAGCGAAGTACCTGTCGCCCCTCCCCCCCGAACACTCAAGACATGCTCCATAAGAACACTAAACGCCCCGGCTGGGTATCTCAGTGGTCAGAGCGTTGTCCTGATACGCCCAGATTGCCAGGTCAGGGCACATATAAGAATCAACCAACGATGCATACACAAGTGGAACAACAAACTGATGTTTCTCTCCCCCTTCCTCTCAAAAATGAAAAAAGATCAGTAAAAATTATTTTTTTAAAAAAAAGGAATACTGAAGGTTAAATCCAAAGAGCGTGCCCACACCCCCAAGGCCAAAGGACGGGCCGTAGCTATGCAGCCTCTGCGCTGAGGACTCTGATGCCAAGTAGAAGCTCAGGAGAGCCTGCGTGCTGGGACCGACTAGTGATGTCTGCCACACGCACGACAGGGGGCATGGCAGCAGCATCCCTGACCCGCTCACCCATGTCCTGCCCAGACTGCTCCCCCACCTCTGCCCAGGGCCCTGCACATCGCGGCTCCTTACCTGTGAAGGGACCGTGTTGTGCGGCACCCGGGGCTATGAAATTGAGGGGCACGTGAGGCGTCCCACTGACGTACTCGTGCGGGAAGGGCCCGTTGGCCCCGGTGTAGCGCTGACACACCACACGCTGGCAAACAAAGTAGACCCCGCCCATGACGAAGAGCGAGAGGATGATGCCGATGACGGGCCCGATGGCACTGCTGTGGGCCGGGCCTTCGTCCAAGGGCGGCTTGGTGATATCTGCCAGGGGACAGACAGGAAGAGGGGGTCAAGGTTAGCTGCACAGGAACAGGCTCCCCTGTGGGGAGATCCCCTTTGGGGAGATCCCCTGTGGGGTACCGTGGGCCCTGGAGGAACTGGTTCTGCCTGGGGCCAGCACTCACTGACGGGGGGCCGGAAGGAGGGGATGCTGGGGTGCTGGGCTGGGGACCCATGCTAACCTCAGTACCACCCACCCGCTGCCCCCTTGGCCTGCCTGGAGCACCATCCTCCCCCCTCCTCCCGCTACGCTCCTCCCCCGCCTCCTCCATTTGGCTAAGCTCTATGTATATCCCAAGGGGCCCTTAGCAGTGACTCCCGCACAGCAGCCTCATGTTCATCCCCTTTGCCCAGCGTTCTCTGTAGCGGCTGGAAGTACACAGTTGATCCCATGAGTCATGAGCTGGGCCAAGAGGCCCTCGGGGCTGGTTCCAGGACTGACCACCAGGCATTAGGCATGGGGCAGGCAGAAGAAGCCCAGTGGTTGGCAAACTGCGGCTCTCGAGCCACATGTGGCTCTTTGGCCCCTAGCGTGTGGCTCTTCCACAAAATACCGACTTCTGTGCATGGGCCATGAAGTTTCAATCGCACTGTACGTGCGTGCCCGCACGTTGTATTTTGTGGAAGAGCCACACTCAAGGGGCCAAAGAGCCGCATGTGGCTCACGAGCAGCAGTTTGCCGACCACAGTCCTAGCCCATCTAGCAGTGGACTTCACCTGGGCAGAGGGGCTGGGCTAACAGGTGTGCCAGGGGTCCAGGGCCTTCACTAGCAGCGCTCACGGAGCCCCGCAGAAATCCTGTGACAGGGCCTGGCTGAGGGGGCTCAGCCCAACCCGCAATGCCAGGAGCTGGCCCAGGGGCTGCAAAGGTGCATGCCTGGGTCCTCTGGGCGTCCTGAGCTGGGGAGGTGCTCCTTGGGCTTCTGAGCCCCGGGGCCTGGGAACGCTGTCTTTGATTCAGACAGAACAGGAGCTGGAGTCTGGACTCTAGACTCGACATGGGCACAGCTCTGGCGAGGGTAAGCCTGCTGCCTGATCGATGCCACTGATGGCTGAGGTGCCTGGGCAGGAGCAGGACAGTTTACACTCAGGCCAAACCTGGCACCTGTGCATGCCTTCTCCCAAGGGGGCCTGCCCGTGCCTCTCTCCCAGCTGGAACACCCCGAGCTCACGGTCTCCCTCTCCCCTCAGCTCAGCTGCCCAGCCTCCTCCACTCGGGGAAAGCTTCCCTGCCTGCTAGCAAGGCCAAGGACTCCCGACCTCGTAGCCTCTGTGAACACTGCCCCAGTCCGCTTCTCCCTTCTGGACCCCAACTCCGAGGCAGAACCTCAGCACCGGGGGGGACCCCGCCCTCCCTGGGAAGCCGGCTCACCACACATGAGCTCGTCGGAGCCGTCGATGCAGTCGGGGAAGGAGTCACACTGCTGCTTGATGAGGATGCACTGGCCACTGGCGCAGCGGAACTGGTTGGGCAGGCAGAGGGCTGCGAGGAGGGAAGCTGGCACTCAGAGGCGTCAGAGGGCGCGGCGTGGCTCCCTGCCCCGCCACCCAGGACCCAAGGGAGATCTGGGTTCCAAATGTAGAGGGACACACGGACCCTTTCTAGGACTGGGCAGGGAGACGGCAAATCCAGCCTTCACCCTCCCCTCGATGGCCCTTGTCCCAAAGCTGCTGCAATGCTGGGGTCAGGGCCGGCAGGGGAGAGACGGTACTGATCAGGCTCCTTCCTCAGCATGAACAGCGCAGGGACTCACCCAGCCCCTGCCCCAAGGCTCTCCCAGGTACAGGAGGTGAGCCAGCTAGAGGATCGCCCACCAGAAGCCTTGGCTCCCTAGAGCGGGGGGTTGGGGTGGGCAGGACACAGGTGATGTCTCAGCAGAGCTCAACTGAAGGCAAAGGCATCCACACAAGTGACCAACGCAGCTTGCAGCCTTTCCGGCAGAGGAAGAGAGAGGCTGGGTACTGATTACTGCTGCCGCCTCCCTTCCTGCGCCCGAATGCTGTCGGGGAAGGAGCTGGAGCCCCACCAGGAAGGCAGCTGCCCAGGGGCTCAGCCACCGGGCATACCTGCCATCTGAACTCCTCTCTGCCCTGCCCAGATGCCCCGAGAACCACTTGGGAGGCTTCGGAAACAGAGGGTGGCGCCCGGAGCTTGCACTGGGGCCGGCTGTGAGTGCAGCATGTGCACCGGAAGAACATTTACAATGGGAAGGGGAGGGGGCAGTTCCTGATGGGGCTCCTGCCCTCCTCACGATCGAGGCCAAACACAGCACCGGGCATGAGGGTACGGCTGGGCTCAGTAAGTATTTAGTCACTGAGGGCCACTGGTCTCTACTGCAACTGCTCGATTTTGCTGTTCCAGCACAAGACAGAAACCAATGCGCCTGCTGTGTCCCAAGCAAAGTTTATTTACCAAAACAGGTGTGGTCTGGATTTAGCCCTCAGGCCAGTGTGCCAGTCCAAATTCCCAAAGGGTCTCTTAGCTGGAAAGACTTCAGAACGGTGACTTTACAGAAACATCCAGGGAAATGACGCTAATCGTGAATAGGGGCTGCAGGCCGTGACCGGGCAGCACCCGAGTTATCTAAGACTGGACCCTCGGCTATGGGGGAGGCAGTAAGAGCGACCCATTAAGGGCTCGGTGGCCGTCCTGGGGCCGTGGTGTTAGCAACATGTGACAGGACCCTCCAAGCAGGTCACTTATACAAGGAAAACTCACAGGGAAACAGAGAGAGGTTTCCCTGCCAAGGTCTAAAGCAGTGGTTCTCAACCTGTGGGTCGCGACCCCTTTGGGGGTCGAACGACCCTTTCACAGGGGTCATCGCCTAAGACCATCGGAAAACACATCTATAATTACATACTGTTTTTGTGATTAATCACTATGCTTTAATTATGTTCAATTTGTAACAATGAAAATACATCCTGCATATCAGATATTTACATGCTGATTCCTAACAGTAGCAGAATTACAGTTATGGAGTAGCAACGAAAGTAATTTTATGGCTGGGGGTCACCACGAGGCACTGTATTAAAGGGTCGCGGCATCAGGAAGGTTGAGAACCACTGGTCTAAAGGAAGATCCTGCTGGTCATAGTGGACCTGGGATGACAAAGCCCATCTCTTGGTAACTCCTGGTTCCATGAGTGGCTAGAACCTACTCAGGGGTAAGTGTTACCCAACACACAGGTCACAGGAGGCCAGCCTGCCTTGTGGGGTGGGATTTACCCAGGTGCAAACCATGAACATCCAGCTACAGGACTTGTCTTGGTTTCTGTAAAACTGTGGACTGAACGAAGGAAGGCAGGACTGACTCTTACACTCCACCTTCAAGTCAAACTGCTTGGCAGGGCAGGATGGGGGCAAATGGCAAGGTTTTCCAGATTTGGCCTAAAAAGCAACTTCTTTCCCTGCCAAGCTGAGGAGGACCTGGCGATTTCTCTCCTGGCAAAGGTTTTAGAGAAACGCTACCCTTGTGGCCAGAGACCTAGGAGAGGGTAGGACAAGTGGCTTCAGGGGAATTGCACGGCTCCAGAAAGGATATGGACAGGGCAGAGCCTGGGTAGGGCCAAACCAGGGAGAGGCCAGATTGGGGGGCGGGAGGGGGGGGTGAAATAGGAGCAGGGCCTTGGTGGATGGGGATTGGGTAGGGCCGGACGGGGCGGGGCCTCACCATCACAGTCTGCCTCATCTGAGCGGTCCTGACAGTCAGCCTCACCATCACAGCGCAGTCTCAGGTCCACGCACTGGCCCCGCGCGCAGGGGAACTGGGCGTCGGAGCACACGGGGCAGCCCTCCTCGTCGCTCTGGTCATCACACTCCGGGAAGCCGTCGCAGCGCCAGGCCGCGGGGATGCAGTCGATGTCCCCCGTTGCACAGGTGAACTGGTCCGGGGAGCACGTGGGAGGCTCTGGGGGGGCAGAAGCACCGTCACACACAGCCCCGCCCAGGGCAGTTGGTCTCCCTTGCGGGTGTGTCCCGTGCGCTGCCCCAGCCCCAGTGTAGAAGTCGGGGGTGATGCACGTGAGCTAGAAGACATGAATTCTCTGTGTGTGTTTTTCATTGTGGAGGGAAACAGGGCTGGGATGCAGACAGGCAGAGATGAGGGGCACCAGCAGAGAGAAGGGGGAGCTGCCACTCAGCCTAGGGCTGCCCCATTTTCCAGGGATCCCATCACCATCCTTCCTCTCCTTTGTGTGCAAAATCACAGAAAACCAACTGAGGCCAGAAAATGGGCCAGAATTTCATTTTAATGTGTTTTTTTTGTTTGTTTAATTTTTTAAAATATATTTTATTGATTTTTTACAGAGAGGAAGAAAGAGGAATAGAGAGTTAGAAACATCGATGAGAGAAAAACATTGATCAGCTGCCTCCTGCACACCCCCTACTGGGGATGTGCCACAACCAAGGTACATGCCCTTGACCAGAATCGAACCTGGGACCCTTCAGTCGCAGGCCGATGCTTTATCCACTGAGCCAAACCGGTTAGGCCTCATTTTAATGTTTAACAACAGTCCTCAATGCCCTTGAAACCTAAGGGACCCCTCAGGGGATGTCTGACCCCTGAGGATTAGGCCTAAACTGGCAGTCGGACATCCCTCTCACAATCCAGGACCACTGGCTCCTAACTGCTCACCTGCCTGCCTGCCTGGTCGCCCCCAACTGCCCCCGCCCTGCCAGCCTGGTTGCCCTTAACTCTACCGCCCCCCCCCCCCCCCACCAGCCTGGTTGCCCCTAACTGCCCCCCTGCTGGTCTGGTCGCTCCCAAATGCCCCCTCTGCTGGCCTGGTCGCCCAACGCAGCCTGCTGTTCAGTCGTTTGGTCATCCCTCACTAACCCCCTTGCCAGCCTGGTCACCCCACGTAGCCTGCTGTTTGGTTGTTACTGTTACTGTGATGGTGTCCCAGACAATTTGCATATTCCTCTATTATTAGTATAGATTACACACACTTCTAAATAACACATGGATCAGAGAAGAACCCATATGAGAAATTTAAAAATATTTGAACTAACTGAAAATGAAAATGCAAATTGTGAAAATTTGTGGCTGCAGCCAAAGCCAGGCTTGGAGGGAAATGCATTGCCCTGAATGTCGATGTTAGAAAAGAGAGGATGACAAGGAGACAGTCTGCTTTGGAGACTGAAGGCCACAGGGACTATAACTTTAATAAAAGAATGCAGGGCAGCAACCAGTGGGCAGAGAATTAGGTCCCAACACAAAGTACTGAGGTCATATCTACCACCACAGGTCAGCAGGTTCTGCAGGAGCACGAGGTGGACTGGGCATGAGCACCGTGGTGTCCCGTCACCCTTGGCAATGCAGATGTGGGAGCAGCCGCCGTTGTCCCGGGCACATGGGTGGGCCGCTGCAGAGACAAGAAGGGAGGGGGTCGAGCTCTGCCTCCCACCTCAGGACCGCAGTCCAGAGGGTGGAGGGGATGAGGGCCAGGTGAGAACTCACAAGAGCCGGCACTCTCGTTGGCCAGGCCCCTACAGATCCTCCCACTTAATTCCCAGGGCAACCTCCGGAGTCTGTGTCTAGTGACATTGCATTTTGCAGATGAGGAAACGCAGGCCAAAAGCAGTTACCAAACTTACCCAACGTCACAGCCCAGCGTACCTTCCCCAGCTCTCACTGTGCCTACAACTGTCACTCTACTCTGCCCACCTGTCTGCCTCTCATGGTGTAGAGAGCTGAGTGGTGGCCCCCAAAAAAGATATGTCCACATCCAAATACCCAGAACCCGTGAATAGGACCTTATTGGGAAAAACGATCTTTGCAAATATAATCAAGTTAAGAATCCGGAGTTGAGGTTATTCTGAATTATCTGGGTAGACCTGAATCTAACGGTAAGTGTCCTTGTAAGAGACCACAGAGGGATGAAGGGACAGACACCGGGGAGGAGGCGGTGTGGTGGCAGAAGCAGAGATTGGAGCGATGTGGCCACAAGGAACGCCTGTAGCCACCAGAAACTAGAAGGGGCAGAGAGCCATCCCAGGGCCTGGAGAGGGAGCTGACCCCACAGACACCTTGATCCCAAACTTCTGGCCTCCAGAGCTAGGGGAGCCCACCTTTCTGATGCATTTAGTCACCCAGTTTGTGGTGATTTACAGGGACTGCAGGATACAAACAGGCAGGGGAGCTCAAGCAGCAGGTGCTGACTCTGTGGGGAGTGCGCATATTACAATTCCACTAACAATGCATCCACACCTGACCCAGAGGAAGGAGCCTGGGGAGGGGTGTGTGGCTGACCTCCCTGAGGTGAGAATGGCAGAAAGCACTGGCTCCGCCCCTAGCAGTCAACACACAAGTGACAGATTCACTGTGTCAGAGGTCACACCTGGGGCTCCGAGGCTCCCCAGTAGGGAGCCAAGACCTCACTCAGGCCCAGGCTTTGTAACTCTAATGAACGTGGTGGCCAACTTGGAGGTAAGCAACAGACAAGCCCAGGAGCTAAAGCATGAGCTCTGGCCTCAAATCCAAGCCCCATCGTGTTCATCAGCCAATGGACAAGGGGAAGCTAACACCCTCTCTGAGCCCTGCTTTCCTTAGATGCAAAGTAGCACAACTGTGAGATACAGGTAAGGTAATGACACAGTGAGCACAGGGCCTGGGAGGCGGGACAGTCACCACGTGGCAGGGAGGGGGGTCCGAGGGTAGAAGCTCGTCCACCAGAGAGGGACACCTGAGCTGAGTGAGTGAAGAATTAGGAGTTATTCAGACGGAGAAGGAAAGGTGACCAGACAGAGGGACTCCAGGGAGCAGGCGCTTGGCCAGGGGGAGGATGAGGGGCTGGGGTAAGGCTGGTGAGCCGGACATCCCCCAGGGCCTTGAAGGCGAGCACCTTGAACTTGGCCAGACCCTGGGCATCACAGGACAGAGAAAGCGATGGCCCTGCTCAGCCCCGCTGTCAGCCCAGGTGTATTTACTGAATGAAGAGTGAGAAGACAGAGACTCAGGTAGACACCTACACACACGCACCCTACATGGTCATATATGGAGGGGATAGAGGAACAAGTGGTCCTGGCATAGACAGCAGGCTGGGGCAGGCAGAATCCTAAACGCTCCCCAATTTCCCACCCAAACCCCCAACACAGGGGATGCGATGAGCTAGCGCGCCCATGGGTTTGCAGATGTAACTAAGGCTACTAGTCAGCTGACTTGAGTTAACTGCAAGGGAGACTTAAAGCGGGGCCAAATCTAACCATCCAACCACGGGCCCTTGAAAAGCAGAGAGGGCTCTCCCGCTGGAGGAAGCAGGAGATTCGGATCTATCGCTGAGAGGCAGGGAGCGGGTCTGAGGGCCTGAGGGAGGCCTCCAGGAGCCAAGCGCGAGAATAGGGCCTCAGCCCCACCACCCCACACAGCGGCCCGACCTCCTCTCTCCCCAAGGGGGCCGGTTCGGGGTCACTGTGCCGTGAGCCCAGGCCCACCCTTTCCTGGGTACCCCCCACACCGCTGCCCACCCCCCACATACAGAACTCCTCCAGGCTGATGTCCTCCACGGCGTGGATGCCGGTCAGGTGGGCGACACGGCCCTGGACTCGTGTCCTCTTGTCGCCAGTGGTCTTCTCCACGCGCTCGATCATCTGCTGCTGGCGGTCAATCCAGTAGAGATGCCTGCCCAGCACGGTCAGGCCCACGGGCTGTGCGATGTTGTCATCCTCCAGGGTCAGGCGGTTGGCCCCTGCAGATGGGACAAGTGCCCCTGAGCGGCAGCCGACCGCGACAGCACGACCCACACCTGGCTCGGGAGGATGAGGAGGGGCTGGCAGGGAGCCTGCAGGACTCCACGCTGGGGCTGGAGCTGGAGCAGATCTGAGACCAGCCCCGGACTGGCCCTGTTCCCACCCGCGACAGCCTTGGGATCAGGGACACAGGACCCCTCCCTCTACCCCACCCCATCCTATGGAAGAAAAGGCCCTCAACGCACCCACTCCCACTCCTCTCCAGCCGCGGGCCTCCTGGTCGAAGGCGGCCCACCTGGGACTTGGGCACTGGAGGCAGAGGCTGGGGTCGGCTCCTGCCCCACCCCGCGCCGTGGGAGCCAGGGCAACATGCTCGCCCTCTCTGAGCCTCGTCTTCGGCCTCTGCCACATGAGGTGAACGTGAAGCGCCAGCTGTGCCCGCTCACAGCAGGTCCCCGACAACCACGGCCACTCCCACGGTTACTGATGACAAGGGAGGCCGGACGTCCCGGCCACGGTCAGACCTGTGGCTGCCCAGGGACCCGATCCCGAGGACGCCCAGGGCATGTACCTGACAGGTCACAGCTTTCGATGCGCTTCAGGTCCGCGTCCACCCAGAAGAGTTTGCCCAGCGTGTTGTCCACCACGAGGGCCACCGGGCGGATGAGGCCCGTGGTGAAGAGGACCTCACGCTCGGTGCCGTCCAGGGCCGCGCGCTCGATCTTGGCTGTTCGGTCCTGCATGTTGGTGAAGTACAGGTACCTGTGGGAGGGGAGTGGGGGGACAGGTGCCATCTCCTGTCAGGATGCAGCTCGCACAGCACCAGCCAGTCGGCTTCCTGTCATGTGGGTTAGGTCCCCCTCCCACCCTGGTTTTTCCCCGTCGGGACCCTCCGAGCCTATCATCATGTCCCAGGTGCCTCCCACCCGTCAGAGAACCCGCGGGCCCGCAGGGGGCGCACCAGGGGCCTTCCTGGAGGGAAACAGCTCTCAGGAGGGGAAGCTGTGCCAGGGACAGCCAGCTTGGGAGGTAGTGAGCTCCCTGTGGCGGGACATATGCGAGTGAGTAGCCAGCCACCACCTGCGATGCTATGGAAGGGATTTTCGTACAGGGTTCGAGCTTGATGGGGATGGTACAAAACCCATGAATTAGAACTTACATCCTTCCCAGTCTCTCAGCAAAACCTGCCCCTCCGCACACCTGCCTCCTGGGAAGGCCACCCCGGGTGTCTGCTTTCCCGCTGAGGCCGGGAACGAGCTAGTGTCCCCACGTCCTGCTCTGGCTGCCATGGCGGGACTCCTGACCCATCGGAAAGTCGGGGATGGAAGACCCCTCCCAGCCCCAGCGGGGTGCAGCCCCCCACATCACGGTGTCCGCCTGCCCCTCCGGCCTCGCACCCTCGCTCGGCGTTGACGACGATGGCCCGCGGCTTGTCCCGGTCTCCACGGAGCACCACGCCCATGGCGTCCCCGTCCAGCCTGTGCACGTTGATGGTGTTGGTGGCCTCGCACGTCCAGAACAGCGTCCGGCTGTAGACGTCGATGCTGAGGTCGTGGGGCTGCCTGTCTGGGCTTTGGTTTGGGCTCGGAGTGGTCAGAATGAAGGGCTGTAAAGCAGTGAGAAAGGAACGCCGGCTAAGGCAGGGCCGGGAGGGCCGAGGCCTTGGGGTCTGAGTTCAGGCTCCAACCCTATCCAATCGGCTCTCGCCCACACGCGCACTAGAGAGTGAAACTGACGCCTACAGCAGCCTCCCTCGGGGAGAGCGCTCGCCCATTCACCCAGGTCTCAGGCCCACCCACTTGGATTCGGCCACCGCCCCCCCCGCCCCTCCCCCAGCACTGTCACTCTCCCGGGCCTGGTCCTGCGCGCACCGCACCCAAGGGCCGCCTGACGGCTGAACCCAGGATCCCAGACCCCTTCCAAGACATCGCTCTGCTTTCTTGTTTTCTTAGACTCCTGCTGTTTTTTAAACTGAAGGTGCCAGAACCAAGTGAAGAGAACGGAGGTGAACCTCGCACAACCCTCTCCTCCAAAGGAGAGGCCAGGGGTTCAAGGCCCAGTGAGGGTGCAGGGCCAGGTGGGGGCCAGGTGAGTGTTGTGGGGGCCTAAAACCAGACTTGGGACACCAGTCATCAGAAAAGCCAGCTAAGAACCACACATGCTACAGCGCAGATAAACCCTGAACACGTGACGCTCGGTGAAATAAGCCAGACACAAAAAGACACATGCTAAGTATGTGATGCCACTTACATGAAGTACTCAGAACAGTCAAATTCACAGACAGAAAGTAGGACGGTAGGTGCCAGGGGCTGGCGGGAGGGGTGGGGAATTCAGTGTGTCATGGGGGCAGCGTGTCAGCTGGAGAACATGACCTGTTCTGGAGATGACGGTGGCCACGGCCACACAGCCATGTGAGCGTACTTAGTGTCACTGAACCATACACTTCAGAACTATTAAAATGGTTCTGCTATGAATATTTGCCACAGTAAAAAATTTTAAATGAACAGGTAAGAAAACTTAGCCAAGAATGTAATAATTTAAAACATCATCTGTGGGGGGGTTTGCGGGGGGCCCTAAGGAAGAATCAAAGCCAGCCGTGGTTAGAGCATCCGCCTGCACACCAAAGGGTCGCAGGTTCGATTCACAGTCAAGGGCATGCACCTGGGTTGCAGGTTCGATCCCTGGCCCCAGTTGGGGTGCCTGTGGAAGGCAACCAATTAGTGCGTCTCTCTCACATCGATGTTTTTCTCTCCCTCTCTCTCTCTCTCCTCTCTCTCCCCCTCACCCACCTCCCCTTCCACGTCTCTAAAAATCAGTGGAAAGAATATCCTGGGGTGAGGATTAACAAGCAAACAAACAAGACTCAAAACCAGAACCACCGGAGGGGCAGGCTCAGCCAGAGACGAGGAGCGAACCACGTTTCCAAATTCAGTGAAAACCCAGAAGCTGCTCCTGAAAGGACTTTTTCTTCAAAATCTTTCCATGCTTTTGCCCAGCTTTCTAAAGGAATGCCTGGACAGGACCCTAAGGCAATTTACACCTCCTAACAGCAGGGAAGCCACAGCCCATCAATTAACACCTCCCCATCCTCGGAAAGGACGCTCAGTGCCGCGGCACCTGCTCTGAGCAGGATGAAAGAAACCCATTTCCACCAGGCACAAACCTCAAAGGTGCCCTGCTAACTTCCCTCCGTTGCTGGAAGAAGCATTTTGTTGGAAGTTATGCCCAACCCACCTAGGCAGCAACGGCATCCAGTTCAGGGGGGCGAACAGCAAAATCCACTGTACACACATGACAATCATCCGAAAATCTCCACCGATGACCATGCCTCGCCATCACCGTTACACGGTCTCAAGAGCTCCTCACGGTGACACCGGCCCCTGCACGGACCCCTGGCCTGAGAAAGGGGCCGCTCAGTTCTGCAGCTTTTGTAAAAGGGTCTTTGGAAACTGGCAGGACGAGCCAAACACGCTCATGGTGGTCACAGTTCCCTGCCGCACGGAGACACCGGGTGAGGCCCGAGGCTGCAGAGAGCGTGTCCTTTCCGGACCGGGTCACGTACCTAAACCGTCAGTCCTGCCAGGACGCGAATTTTGAAAACACGAATGTGTTCCCGCACAGTGATGCACTGGGGCCATTTGAGCAGAGTGTGGATTTCACATTTGCTCTCGGGAACTCTCACCCGCGAGAAGCACCAGGTGGGTGCACCCAGCACGGGCCGAGTAGGAAAACACGCCCCCTGGGTCTTCCTGTGAGCCCCATGTCCACACTCACGCCACCATCTCACAAAAACCCGCAGGCCACGACCTTCCGACGCCCAAATCCCCAGCCAACGTCAGGCCTCCATTGTGGCACTTACATCCTGAGCCATTTAAGCCTGCATGACACTGCTGTATGGAGCTCCTGTCGGTACGTAATGTGCCCCAGCCCCCTGTCCCCATGGCCCTGAGGTGTGTGCTGTGTGATTCTGCCCTGAGGTGTGTGTGGTGATTTTCAGAACGCACAGACTGCATTATGGCAGAACTGACTATACGATTCCTATGAAATAAGAACAAATCCAGAGTAAGCAATACCAGCCACCTGTGCAAAACCACTGTGGAAAGAAGAAATATCCCATGGGGCTGGACACTCCCCCCCGCCCCCCCAACCTCCCAGTGATTTCAAAAACTATAAAATCCAGGTTCTACACATAACCAGTCTCAGAGTTTCACACCCAATAATGGCAGAATCGGAGCTCAAATCATTGCTGCCCCAAAGCCGTGCGTGGTGGGCACCCCCACTGCTGAGGAAAGTGGGCGGAGCCCAGAGAGTCCCAGGGTGAGCTCTTCACGGAAGTGCCCTCACGCCTCTGACAGATGCACTTGCCTGGGTCCCATCATCCCGGGCTCGCTTGATGTTCTGGCGTCCATCCACCCAGTAGATGAACTTGTCCAGTGGGTCGTAATCAATGGCCTTGACGTTCCTCAGCCCGTGCAGCGGCAGGATGAGGTCTGGGCTGTGCTGGTCGTCCGGGATCATCCGGCTGATGGCATTTTTCTGGCTGAACAGCAAGAAGGTGCTGGGCGCTAGGGTGAGGCGAACAGAGGGGGGGCTGCGGGTCAGCATCCGGGAGCCGCAGGGAGAGCAGATCTACATGTGGAGCCCCCAGGGGACATGGGACAAGGCCAGAAGGACAGAAACCTGCTTCTGGGGGTGGACCACGGGGAATTTTACCCTCCGTGTTACATATCTCGGTTTCAGTTTTTATGAGTGCCTGTCTTTTTAAAAACAGATATCAATTCATCTGTAAGTGATCAAGACTCAAGACGGCAGGAAGGAAGGCAGTGAGTACCAAGGGCCCACTGCAAGTGTCCGTCAAGCTCAGGTGACATGTCTCCACGTGCCAGGGAACTGCTGAGGAGCATATGGGGTGAACAGTGACCCCAGAAGGGCAAGCTGCCTGGGGGTCAGTGAGCAAAGCTGCCAGCTGCAGGAACGGCATCTCACAGAATGTGCAGGAGGCCACGGGCTGCAGCCACTGTCCGACAGCACTGTCCTCTGCCCAGGTCACCGGCCACAGGCGTCCCCTATGGGTGCGGGGTTACCTGCACCTCTGCTTCAAGGTTATGGCCCCCAGGGGGGCAGGGACAACAGGACCAAAGGGAGCCCAGGGGTGGGGTCCCAGGCTGCGGCCCAGGCCCAGCTCGCACCAGCTCGGGGCCTCAGCGACACGAGGGGATGAGGAAAGCCAGCCCTCCTGGTGCCAAGGGCTGTGTGACCTCAAGCCAGGCCCAGGCAACAGAGCTCTGCACGCCGCCCCGTGCTGCACACAGGCTAAGGCATGACGGCTCTGAGGCTACAGGGGAAGAGCCCGCCAGCAGGGCCACAGCTCTCCCTGGGCCTGTGGGCAAGTCGCCCTCAGGCTCCCTGGAACTCACTTTTTTATCACTGACATGAGAGCTTTTTAAAAAGCCTGCATAATTCAGAGTGTCAGTGTGAGGATTACACGTGTGAACGTGAGGCCACTGGCAAGGGGTCAAGAGCAGGGACTCTGGAGCCAACCTGCCTGCCTTCAAACCGGGCTCAGGCCTTGCCGGCTGCGTGGCCCTGCACGGGTTACTATGCGTCTCTGTGTCAGGTTCCTCGCCTGTGAGTGAGACGGGGACAGTGACACTTCCCTCCCTACAGGCGTGAGGACTGAACGAGAGCCACAGAAAGGACTAGAACAGGGCCTGCCTCCCCGAGCGAGCGCTCTCTCCCAGGGACCACGATTCCTCATGGGATGTGCCAGCTCGGGGCTTGGCCCAGCTCCTGTGTCTCGATGAAGCAACAGGTCCTCCGCCCAGCCCAGGCCTCCAGGTAACATTGTGCAGTTCATGCACCAAGGCACCCTTTCCCTCCCAGCCCCGGAGCCAGCCTGGCCTAACACGGGGCGCGCGGCAGGGGACACAGCACTCACGGCTACAGTTGCGGCTGCTGGGGTCCAGGGTGTAGTGGGAGGCACAGCTGCAGCGGTGGCCGCCGGGGACGGCCAGGCACAGCTGCCCACACTGCCCATTGCCGTGCACGCAGTCGTTGAGGCCGTCCTGGCGGGAGGAGTGGAACACCAGGATGTCCATGACGAAGTCCAGGTGGCCCTGGATGAGGGTGCGGTTCCGGCCGCTGGTCTTGTCGGCCCGCTCGATGCTGTGCAGGTTCCAGTCCGTCCAGTAGATGTAATCGCTGTACTGGGTCAGGCCGAAGGGGTGTGGGAGGTCATCGGCAATCACGATCCTATCCTGACCTGCGTGGGACACACGGGCAGGGCGTCAGCAACAGCACAGCACGCCCGCAGCGCAGGGCGCCCCGCAGCCTGGCAGCCTGCGCCGGGGCCAGGAAGTTTGACCACTTTGAAAAAGGAACAGGACTGACTGACGTTGGATGTGCACCACCCTGGGACCGGGCAACTCCTCTCCCGTTCACAGGAGAAACGCACGCACACAGTGTGCGCCTGCACCATACGGACAAGCGTGTGGGTGGCAGCCACTGGCTGTGAGAGCCACGGGCTGGAAACAAGCCAAACGCTCATCAACAGCAGAATGAAGGAAAGGTAATGGGATCTTCAAAGACATTCAAAGCTGGCCATTAGCCCCGTACACCAGGACAGTCAGCGTGCAGGGTGGGCGTGGCCCGCCCCACGCAAAAGCCAGGACACTGGGTCCTAGCTCTGCTCACACCTGGAACTAGCCATTCAGCCCGCCTCTGCCTCACTTCCCTCATCTGTGACATGGGCATAACCACGCCCACCCGGGTGAGAGCAGCAGAGATGAGGCAGGAAGCCAGATTCTTTCTGCTGCACAGGGCAGCCCGTGACCCCACAGAGCTGACAGGACCACGCCCCTCCAGCAGGACAGAGCCCAGAGTTACGTGTTCTGGGTTCAAATCCTGCCCCGACTGCTGGGTGACTTGGAGCGATGTGTTTACCTCGTCCCAGGGTGTTGGGTGTGGCTTGTGAGTGGCCCCAGAACAAGACCAGCACACAGCAGGTGCTCAGGGCGAAGATGGGTGTGTGGCCCTGGCGTCTGAGCGGCACTCTGTGACCTGAGGCAAGTCCTGTGCCCTCCCTGGGCCTGCTTCCCCATCAGTGAAAGCCTAGGCCACGTGGTGCGGTGTCAAATCAGAGTGCTAGCCCAGGGCTCAGCTGGAGCCCAGCTTTCGGTGCCCGAACCTGTGGCCACAGGGCCTCTGTCGACACGCTCACGGCACAGTGCGGGAAGGGAAGGCCCTCGAGAGAGGGGAAGTTGGATGAGCGCTCGGGGCGTGCCCACACCTCCTGGAGGGCCCGGGGACTCGAAGGCCAGCGGGCACAGTGCAGGGGGGCACCAGCCAAGGACACCCATCCCCCAGGACCACCGGCCCTCACCCAGCATGTTGGATGACTCGATCATGTTGGTGTCCAGGTCAGTCCAGTAGAGACGCTGGTCCGCGTAGTCGATGGTGAGGTCATTGGCCCGGCCCACCTTGTCCACCAGCGTCATGCAGTTGGTCCCGTCCATGAAGGCCCGCACGATCCGTGGCTTGCCACCCCACTCAGTCCAGTAGATGTAGCTGGAAGACACGGGAGAGAGGCAGGTCGGGCTCAGATGCGTCCACACTCTCGGCAAGGCAGGGAACACGGCCGCCACCGTCTCCTAAGCTGGGTCCTCCCCGCCCCAGAGAAAGCCACTTCCACAACATCCCTCCGAGAAGAAGGGAAGAGGCCAGACCCCCTGAGCCCCACCACCCACCATCCCTCCAGGGGCCTTCACTGTGCCACCTCCTGCCGCCTGAATGCCCGCAGCAGCTCACCTGCAGGGGAAGTGTGGTCAGCCCATTTACAGGCACACACAGGTGCACAGACAAGGTGGCCGTGTAACAGAACCACCAGCTGGAGTGCCTTTGTCAAGGACAAATGCTAACTAACCCACACGGGATGCTGGATGACAGGGGAGCCAGGACGAACGTGGGCGAAGCAGGACACAGGTCCGAGGCGGCAGGCGCGGCAGGGCCAGGACGTACACAGCTCTGCCGCCTCCCGACAGCTCCACGAAGAGAAACCCCCGTCCTCCTCCCAGAATCAGGCACGTGGGACTTGCCCTTTCGCTAAAACCTGGACCTCCCTGTTCTGCCACCCCTAACAGGGCAAGCGGCAGGCCGGGTTTGGGGTGCTCCCTCCACATGGCTGATGCCTTATGGGACCGGCACTGTGCCAGCTGCTCAGAAAAGGAATCTCGGAGCAGAGGGAGACGCCCTCTCCGCCACACCCCAGCCCCAAAGCCCCGGGGCAGAGCCCAGGCCTCCCACACAAAGCCTGCAGCTAACCCTCGGCTAAGTGCAATCCAAAGGGCTCAAAGCCAGCTCCGAGAAGGCGGAGCCTGGTGACACGGGCGAGGGAAAGAACAGCCTTTGTTGGCCCAGCCCTGCTCTGACTGGCTGTGTGGCCTTGGGTGAGGAGCTCAGCCTCTCTGAGCCTCAGTTTCCACCTCTGTAAAATCAGGAACAAAACACCCCTCCCCCCACCAGGCCTCCTGGGCGCTGCAGTGAGACAACCCACAGGAAAGCACCCAGCACAGCCCGATACAGCGGCTGCCACGCCATCCTCGGCTCTGGGCCTGTTTTCGTGAAACAAACTACACGATCTCCGAAGGTGCAGCCAGCCCCGGCCACCTCAACGCTAGAGCGGTCAGTGCCGCTCTCATCAGAGAGAGCCAGCCGGGCGGCCACCGCCTCGGTCTCCGGTCATCCCCGTGCTGGCGGGCACAGAGGTGGGAGGGGGACGGGGACACACGTGCCCGACAAAACGGTCCTTACCCCTTGGTGGGGTCCAGGGCCAGCGACCTCGGGTTGTCCAAGTCCCTCCACACCAGGACCTGCCGGAACTGCCCGTCCAGCCGGGCCACTTCGATCCTGTTGGTCCCGGTGTCCGCCCAGTAGAGGTTCTTGCCCATCCAGTCGACGGCCATGCCTTCCGGGTAGTCAAGGCCGAACTCGATCACGTGCTCCACCGAGCTCCCGTTCAGGAAGGCGCGGCTGATGGTCTGGGCGGGCGGGGGCAGAGACACCGGTTAGGAACCAGCGTTCGGCAGACATTTAACTATGAGCTGCTCCGCCACCTGGAGCAGCTGCTCACCACATTGGTGACCGGGTCACCAACATGCGAGAGTTTCAAAATACACTCGTCAACTATAAACATTTTAGAAAAAATTTTAGCTATTCTTATATGTAATATATGTTTTATAACTACATATTTTATATACTTATAAAACAAAATAAGTTATAAGTAAATTACATATTATACATCTATCTCTCTCGATAGATAGATAGATAGATCATGAATCTTAAAAACAGCTGTGTCCTTCCACTCAGTAATCCTCTCCTGAAATTGTACCCAAAAGAATGAACAAAAATACAAAAGATGGGGAGCTACTGGAAATGCTGAAGGGACTTTGCATGCGAAACCTTTGCTGCTGTGGTTGCCGAGAGCTGGGAGAAGCAGAAGTGACCAGAAAACACATAAAATGAAGGAATGGTCACGTACAGTAGGGAATAGCTGTGCAGTGGAATCTTTTACGCTGTTAAAGAGTTCATAAAAGGCTAACAAAATAAATGCCCGTTAAAATGCTAAGTGGAAAAGACCAGGAAACAGAATTCTATGTAGCATATGATTGTGATTAAGAGAAATACTATCATAGGAAAAAAAACCCTCAAAGGAAATACACAGAAGTGTGAGGAGGGATGGTTAAGTTGGGTGATGGGTGACTTTTATTTTCTTCTTTATACTTTTCTGTGTATTTCCCTCTTTCTACAATGAACCCTGGTGACTTCAAGAATCAGAACAATCTTTCAGAAACATCATATAAATGGTAGAATAAAAGGCAGATGGTTAAACGGCTCTAGCTGTAAACACTGTACTTCAGAACAGGGGTCGGCAAACTGGTTCTGTAAAGGGCACTGAATGTTCTAGGCTTCACGGGGCACACGGATCTGTCAAAGTTCAACCTAGTGGCACAAGGGCAGGCGTGGGCAATCCGTAAACAAATGGGGATCGCCACGTTCACATAAAACTTTATTTGCAAAAGGAGGAGGCCAGCCCTCGGACAGCCTGCCAAACCCTGCTTTCCTTGTATTTATCCAGGATGTTCATACCTGCACGTGAGTGAAGAGCTGGCTAAGCAAGTGCACATGGGGAAGGAGTGGGCGGGTGATGCTGAGGACAGTGTCACAGACGTCTCTCGGCTACCCAATCGCTCTAGAAAAGCCCATTTGTGGGTCTCCTGGATCTGCCCACTGTAATCATTCACGTTAGTTTATTAAAACAGGCTCACTAATATTTTATTGGCTTGAGTCGTTACAAATATTTAAAAAAACTGCCCAACTGGCATGGGTCAGTGGTTGAGCATCAACCTATGAACCAGGAGGTCGCTGTTCAATTCCTGGTCAGGGCACATGCCTGGGTCATGGGCTCCATCCCCAGTAGGGGGCATGCAGGAGGCAGCCGATCAATGATTCTCATCCTTGACGTTTCTCTCTCTCTCTCTCTCTCTCTCTCTCTCTCTCTCGCTCGCTCTCCCTTCCTCTCTCTGAAACCAATTTAAAAAAAATTAAAAGCCTCTGAGGCAGCCCCCCTGCAGGCAAGGCGTTCACAGGAGAGCTGTGTGCAGGCACCTGGCGGACCGTACCTTCAGGCTGACGTCCGTCCAGTAGATGTGATTGTTGGACACGTCGAAGTCCAGCGCGGAGGCCTCCTTGACGCCCGTGAGCGGGATGGCCACGTCGTTGTTGTTGGTCTCCAGGGAGATCCTGTGGATGGTGGCCCTGCTGGTGAACACGAGGAAGGCCTCGGGGACGATGCAGGTCTTCATGTCGCTCAGCAGCTCCAGGCCGATGGGGCAGCCGCACTTGGTGGCTCGGGGGGTGAAGAAGCACAGGTGGCTGCAGCCCCCGTTCTGGTCCGCACACGGGTTGGTCCCTGGAAGGCAACACACAGGCCCGACACGTCAGCAGCCCGGCAGAGAGCGTGCCGTCGGCCCACAGTCACGTGGCTTTATTTCCACCGGACACACACGGGGACCCTGGGTGGAGAGGGTGGAAGCCCAGGCCTTCCCTGGTACCGGAGAGGCAGTGACGAGGGTCCCGGCGGGTCCCCGTGTGCTGACTGCTCTGAGCACACAGCGATCTGGGAGGTGGAAGCTAGGCCCATTCCTGGTTCTCCGTCGAGGAAACGGAAGTGTGGAGAGGTTAGTGAAGGTGACACACTTAGGAAATTAGGGAGCAGCTCCGCGAGAACAAGAACCAGGAGGTCTAGCCTCCAGGCCCTAGCTCCAACCCCAGGTGGATGGAATATGGCACAAGGCGATGACAAGACAGTCGTCCCTCCCCAGGTTGGACTCCTGGCCTGCGGACCGGACCGGAGCCTGAGACCCCACTCAGAGGCTTCCTCCGATTCACCGACTCTCTTGGCGACCTCAAGAACTCCGACCTGCCCAGGACGGCCAAACACCACTCTTTTTCACTCAAGTAGATGGTGCTCAGCATGTTCATTCATTTCTGGCCAGCCTGTTAGTCGCACTGATCTACTGGGGTGCTGTTAACATTGGCTCTAACTTAATGTCAAGTGTTTCAGCTAAAAAAAGAATGCTTTTCCCCATCTCTCTCAGTAAATCCTGAGATGAGACAGAGAGAAGGGGGCGGGGGGAGGGATGAGCCTAATTTCTCAACTTTAAATCACACCCTGTGGCAACATCTTTTTTTAATCATCTCTGGGGGTTTGTTTTTTTAAACCATCACTCACAGTGGTCCCACCACCCACACTGGTGACGAGTGTGTTTTACGAGGTGGCTGTACAAGGGAGCGTGCGATTCCATCGTTTGTCTCAGGAGCGCAGGTGGGGACTAGGCCCTGAGATGCAGCAGCAGTGGCCGCTCCCAGGTCAGCCCCCACAGCCTAACCTCCAGGCCTTTGCTCAGCCATTCCTTCTCCCTGCAAACCCCACTCCCCACCTGCTCCTGAAATTCCAAGCTCCAATGACCTCCCTTGCATTTTAAAGCCAGGCATTCCTCTAACATCCCAGCTAGAGCCATCGCCTGGAAGCTAAGGGGAGTCTCGCCCACCCAACTGTAAGTATTTGAGGGCGAAGGTCTGCTGAGCACCATGTGCAGGCGCTGTACCAGCCACAGGGCCTCCGCTGGGAGCAGAGCCCCTGCCCCATGGAGCCCGCAGCCCCCATCCTGGCCCAGCCCACCTGGACGCTACTCTTGGACCTGCACTTGGAATCCTTTTGATAAAGAGACAAAATTGCATGAAGGGAGCTCTTTTGCAAATCTTGGCGATGAGGTGGAGGCAGACCCAGGCGTGAGTCCCAGCTTGGCCACGGGCCACCGTTAGCTGCGTGGCTTTATCTCCGCCTCCCCAGCGTGAATGGGCAATACTGTAATTAGCATCTAGGGTGGCTTTGGGCACTAAGGCACACAGCAGGTGCTCAGTAAGTGTTAGCCATTATTGTAACAGTTCCTGCCAGCAGCGCCCATCCGCATCCACTGCCTCGACATTACCCCCGGTCAGTACACGCCCCCATGCCCACCCATCCCTAACCACATACGCTCACCACCTCCTGCCCTGCCCAGACCATAGTGAGGCTCCCCAGCTGGACACGTATGCCCCCAAACTGGGCCGCCCATGGACCAAAGGGCAGCCACAGCCCTGCCGCTTCTTCCGCACACCAGTTGGCACGGCTGACCAGACTCACCGACGACCTTGGCCACGTTCACGGCCTTGAGCCCCATCAGGTCAGGCAGCTGGTCGATGATGACGTCCCGGCTGGCCTTGACCTTGTGCACACGCTCGATGCTCCGCCGCTGCCAGTCGGTCCAGTAGATGAAGTCCCCCAGCAGCGTGAACCCGAAAATGTGCGGGAGCTTGTCCTCCAGGAGCATCCGCCTCTTTGTCCCGTCGACGTTGATCACCTGGCGGACGGAGACAGGAGTCTGAGCCAGCCGAGGCCTGAGCTGCCTGAAACAGGCCGGGCTCAACTCCGGGAGCCTCAGCTCCATCCGCACCTCACCAGGCCACCACAGCGAGGACCGGGTCAGGGCCTCTCCTCGCAGCCCCCCTCTCTGGGCGGCTGCTATGCTGAGAGGGGCAGCGTGGTTGGGAGCAGGTGAGGCAGACAGGTGGCTGCTCCCACCACTGCTGCTCAGCTGGGGGTGGCTGCCCGGTACCCAGGCCGGGTCTCAGCCCAGGGGTGGGCTCCACGGGAAGCAAGCCTGCCCCAGGCAGCACAGGGAGCCTGGACCACACTCGGACACGGAGCTGAGTTTCAGAGGTCCGTACAACCGCGGCACTGCGGGCCCTGGGCACCGTCACCCACTTATCTACTGGGGTGCTGTGGACGAGCTCCCCGCCAGGTCAGGACCAGCTGAGGCTGAGGGCGCTCTGGTTCTGACTGAGCTGTGGCTCCAGGATGCCTCCCATCCCCGCAAACCAGCGCCGATTACTCTGAGAGGCACAAGCTAAGCCCTGCTCTTGCGTCTGTGCTGATGCAAAGCACCAACCACAAAGGCCACAGAGGAGAAAAATGCCATCCAACACAAAACGCCGTACCCCACCGGAACGCACACACCGGCTAGGATGGGATTCTGACGACGGGGCACCGTGTCGAAGCTTCTGATAAAAGGAAGACGATAAAAACGCAACAGCCAAGCGTGGGCTTTCCGGCCCCGATGAAAGCGACAAGCACATCAAAAGCAGGTCTCAGCAGGCCTCCCGCAGACAGATGATGCTTCCAGCTCGTCAGAAAAGCCAAAGCCCTCCGCTCTGCAGGCAGCAAACACCCGGACAGAGCGAATGCGTGCGGGGCAGAAAGACTTCGGTCCTCTGTTGTTGGACGTTCCGGACAAAGCCGCTCGGCCAAGCGGCAGGGCCACCCTCAGCTCTGCCCATGGGTAAGTCCCTGTACCCTATGGATCTAAGTTTCTCCACCTGAAACTTAACCAAGCGAAGAACAACAGCTGAACCCCAAGCTGGGGCCATGCCATCGGAACTGGAAGGCCCTCGGCCAGGTGTGGGTCCTTCGAGCAGCCCAGGTGCGAGCCCTAGATTAGACCATCCCCTCGTGCCATGAGCTGGGGAGTGGCTGCCTCACCTGGAAGGCAGACCTCAGGTTGTACAGATTTCGTACGGGACTCTGGGCGCCACTTCCTGGCCCTCGGGGCACCGGTACAGTTGACCCTTGAGCAACATGGAGATGAGGGGCACGGCCACCTCCGTGCTGCCGAGAATCCGAGTATAACTTCTGACTCCTCCCAAACTTAACTGCTAATACCCGACTGTTGACTGGAAGCCTTATCGACAACGCAGTTGATTGATCCTTATTTTGTATACACATTATATTACTGTATTCTTACAATAAAGTAAGCCAAGGGAAAGGAATGTTATTAAGAAAATCATAAGAGAAAATAAATTACTGAAAACAATCCGCGTACAAGCGGACCCAGGCAATTCAAACCGAATTGTTTAAGGGTCAACTGCAGATGGCGGGTGATGGATTAACTCCCTGAATCGGTCTGGGTGCCGGTTCCCATTCTGGCCCCAGAACAGGAAGGTACAAGAAGGTGATGAAAACGTGCTAGGTGGGCCCTGGCCGGCGTGGCTCTGTGATGGAGTGTCGGCCTATAAACCAGGAGGTCACGTTTCAAGTCCAGGTCAGGGCTCGAGCCTCGGTGGGGGGTGTGCAGGAGGCAGCTGATTGATGATTCTCTCTCATCATTGATGTTTCTCTCCCTCTCCCTTCCTCTCTGAAATCAATAAAAAATATCTTTTTTAAAAAAGAAATGTGTGGTAATTATTATTTTGAGGATTCTATTTGGCCAACGAACAGAGCCCAGATCCTGACACACACATGGGTTGGGAGCAGGGCACGGGGGGCAGGGACAGGTTTGGCCTCTGCCAAAAGCTCAGAGCCCAAGGTCGGCTGTGCCGACGTCTATACAGAGCTGCTTCCTGACCCGACACTCACCGTGGGGACGGCTCACCTCAATTTTGTCCGTCTTGGCGTCTCCCCAGTAGAGCTTCCCCTCTTGCAGGTCCAGGGCCAAGCCGTTGGGCCAGCCGAGGGACGTGTTCACCAGGATGCGCCGCTCCTGCCCGTCGAGGTTGGCACACTCAATTTTGGGGTTTTCCCCCCAGTCTGTCCAGTACATGAGGCTGGAGAAGAAGAAGCACCTGTCCATGACAGTGTCCGTCTGTCCTGTCCCTGCAGGACCGGGGACTCTGTGGGGACAGGGGTGCCCCAGGTCTGGGCTTCATGCTCGGGGCCCCTGGACTGGAAGGACCAACAGAGAGCAGACGCCCTGACGAGGGACCTGGGTGTTGGGGGGCTAAGCGCCAAGAGGGAGGAAGAGGCCAAGTGGAACCTTCTGTGTGCAAAGCAGGTGACACGTGCTCTGTGGCCCCAAGAAGCAAAACTAGACGCTGCGGTGGCAGCTCCAGGAAGAGGGTGAGCACTCGGACAACGTGCCTGAGCTGTGCCCGACCCTCGGCTCTCACACACCCGACTCCCGGCCCCATTTCCCCGGGGACCTGAGACCCAGAGCTGGGAGGGGCCTTGGAGTCTGCTCCCCCACCCCCAGGGGAGAACAACCCCGAGCCACAGTCCCTACCCTGGGGCCGGCAGTGAGCGCCTCTGCCTCCCTGTCTCTCACACCCTTGCCCACTTCCTTGGGGGACAGTCCTGCCCTTGGCAGCTGACACAGAGCCGCATCCGTCTAGGCTGTGGCCTCACCTTGAGCAAATCCCTTAACCTCTCTGAGCTTCAGCTTCCTCCACTGTTCAACCTTCCCCACAGGGTGAGGGGGAAGGAGAAGACTTATCTACAGAAGCACATGATGTGCTCAGAAGAGGCCAGCCCCTGCGTGGCGAGGGCCGCAGCGCCCATCACTACTGCTGCCATTACTAGCCCAGAACTCAGCCTGGGGGCCGGTCCATTCTGCAGACACAGAGATTGAAGCCCAGGGGAGGAAATGAGGCACCCAAGGTCTCCAGGGCTTTCTATACACACACACAACAGCCTGTGAGAGCTCCCCTAAGTCTGGTCCCCGGACCGGCAGCAGATGCATTGCACCCAGACCTCCTGAGTCAGAGCCCGGGGACCAGGCCCAGCCATGTGCGTCGTCAGGAGCCCTCCTCGGGGGACCCTGATGCAGGAGGAAGTTCCAGAACTTCTGTTTGGCCCGGCTGCCAGCTCCAGCCAGGGAGGGAGGCCCAGCCGCCCAGCCTTACCCCATCATCGGGTGCAGCGCGATGGCGCGGGGCTCGTCCAGGTCCTCGGCCACCAGGATCTTGCGGGAGGTGCCGTTGAGGCGCGTCACCTCGATGCGGTCCGTGCCCGTGTCCGTCCAGTAGAGGTTTCGGGCCACCCAGTCGACCGCGATGCCATCGGGGTCGTTGATCTCGGTGTTGACCAGCGTCTGCGCCCCCGACCCGTCCAGGTGCGCCCTGCAGATGGCCCGCACCTCATCGTCCGTCCAGTAGACGTAGCCCTCCAGCGGGTCGTAGTCGATGGCGATGGCGTGCCGGATATCATCGACCTGCAGGACGATGTCGGTGAAGTCCGGCGTGTCCAGCGAGATCCTCCGCAGGTCCGTCCGCCGCGCCAGCAGCAGCACCTCCTCGGCCCCTGTGGGTACACGAGCAGCGGGGTGAGGCCCGAGGCAGGACAAGAGGCTGAGCCCGGGGTGGGCACGGCAGGGGAGGGGCTCAGCAGGCCCCCAGGGGTAACGTCAGGCGCCGTTCACTAGACCTTCCTACACAGTCACCAGTTCATCCTCAAAGGGGCTCTACGAGGCTGGCACTATTTGTATCACCACAGGATAGATGAGAAAACAGAGGCACAGAGAGGCTAAGCAACCAGCTGGAAGCCACACAGCCATCTGCTGTGAACCACGGCACAGCATAAGCGCTGCCTCACCAGCCCCAACTATAAGTCCTGCCTGGGCACTGGGCTCCAGACCCGACTGGTGGTCCCATTGGGCCCCACCTTCTCTACATGCTCACCCTCTGTGGCTCAGCTCAAATGCCACTTCTTCCCTGAAGCACCCCCTCCTACTCTGCCTACCCCACAAGGCAGCCTCATGTCCCACAACCACACCTATCACCGCACAGTACAAGGCAGCCTCATGTCCCACAACCACACCTATCATCGCCCAGTCTGATTCCTTCCCAGGTGGCTGCTCATGGACCAGGGTGAGCGCCTGGGACAGGCGCCCCAGGCTTCCTCTTTGTCACCCAGCAGAATTAACACCTGGTGCTGTCCCGGGTCCTCCCTGCGGGGGTTTACCAGAACTCCCAGCAGGAGGGGCACATGGAGCCTCATGTGGACTCGGGGGCCCCGGGGTGCTCCCAACCCTGACCTGACACCTCCGGAGACTGCGGGGTCAGCACGCGGCCCTCGCCCAGGGCTGGACCATCACTCATTCATTCTGGCCCCTTCTCGTCTCAAGGATCCACAGAACCAAGATTAGGCCCAGAGACCACTTCTGGCACCTTGGGGCCACTTACCTGGTTTGACGCAAGGCCCAGAATGGGGAGGGAGCCCACTGAAGTCACACAGCATGACAGGACACAGACAGGGACAGGACCGCCGGCACCTCCCTCACACCCAGGCTCCCAGGCCGCCCGGCACAGCCAACTGCCCGGCCTCCTCAGCGCCTGGTCAAGCCATGGGTGGTCGGATCTCCTGTACCCCAACGCCAGCTTCAGGCCGCAAGGGCCAAGCGCGCCAACAGGTGCCCTGCATTTGTCCTGCTTCAAGGCCCAGAGGTCATCATCGATGCCTCCACCAGAGGGAGCACAGGTGCCAGCCATGGCTTCATGAACCAGGACCAGGCAGAGTGAGCAGGCCTTGGGAAAGGGCGGGCGGCCGGCAAGGCTCAGAAGGTGCCCCAAGTGCGCGACGACACCGGACACTTCCGAGATCCAAGTCCAGATTTAGTTAGAGGTGGTCATGCAAGCTCAGATTTGGTGTGTGCTGGAGGAAGAGGAGGGGAATTCTGAATTTCAACAGACTGTCTTCCTCTGGGCTCCATTCCCAACATGTTCTGTTGACATCTGACCTGTCCTTAAAGGCCCCGGTCACAGGCCTCCTCCTCCCCTGAAAGCCATTCCCGCCTCACCGCCCCAGTGCATGGGCTGACCACACTCAGACTGTGGGGCTGGCCGCTCTGCTTGGGCACCACCCATGGGAATTCCGCCCCCTCGCTCTCCGCAGCCCCAGCACAAGGCCAGGCTCGGAGCAAGTGCCAACATCCTAGGACAAGCAGGGAGAATTCAGGGCGGAAACCTCCCGCACTGCCTCTGCTGTGTGACTGTGGGCAGGTCCCTAACCCTCTCTGGGCCTTGGTTTCCTCATTTAGAGTAAAGAATCAGCCCGACCCTGTCTAGCCCTGACATCAAGGAGACCTTACTCCATAGAAGGTTCTGGCTTCATCTGCCATGGTGGGGGGGGGGGGGGGGAGAAGCCCCCCGGGGCACGACCAGGAAGAGCCCTGCCCCAGAGGGCATCTGCAAAACTTTCCAAAGAGGCTGTCGGGCTCCCAAGGGAAGGTCGGGCAGCCTCACTGCGCAAGAAGTAAGAGTGTATGTCAAACCCCATTTGACCTCAAGTAGCACTTCAACCACAACCCCACAGAAAACACTGGGCCCGCTGGAAACCGACACTTGGCCCCAAAACACATTTTGAGCCTGTTTTGCCTATCCCTGTTCCCATGATCCTCCAGGCACAACACCTAAAATAGCACAAACCTCACACCGACCCGATTAAGCCCCCTTTTCCCGATGAGGAACCCGATGCACAGAGAGGTGAGGGTCCCCGCCCAAGCACACAGCAGCAAGCGGGACAGCCAGGGCCCACGAGCACTCTGTCCCTGAGGCTGGCACACGCCAGCAGCCCGGCCGGCTCGGTCACCCCACCAAGACTTTTGAGGGCGGCTACTTTCAGCCAGGTCCTGGACCAGGTGCTGGCGATGGGGGTGGAAAAAACGGATCAGCCCCCCTGGTGTCCCTGGGGTCACAGGGCAGAGACCACCAGTGAATCAGTGCCAGGAAGGAAAGCTGGGGCACGGGGACGGTTGAGACCGGGGGGTTGGCCTCCAGTTCCAAGAGCTTCTGGGATCCGTGTGGCTGTGGCCTTCAGCAGATTCAGGCAGAGCGTGCCCAACGGGCACAGAGCCACCAGGGGCGAAGTGTGCCCAGCCCCAGCCCTCCAGTACCAGGTCAACAAAAAGCCTGGAGCACACCCCCCATCAGGGAACCCCACTATCAGTGTCCCTTAAGAAAGAAGCCTCAGCGGCTGAGGTGGTGATTAAATGCTGGGAAAAATTAGTGGGTGTTAATTGACTCCAAAGGGGGTTCTCCCACACCCCTTCGGCTGCAGAGCCTTTGAGGTTCTTATTTGAGCTTTGCCTAGAAAATGAGAAAATTGCAGAGACCCTGATACCAGGAGGGAGTCAGGGAGGGAGCCACAGCTCAGCCCGTTTGCCTGATGGTCTGAGGAGGCCCAGACTGTGCCCAGCAGGGAGGTAGCAGGGCGCTCTGTCCAAGGCCAGGCCAGTGTGGGCACAGACAGAGCCACTGGCCTGGGCCCTGAGGCCACTCACCAAGGCTGCTGCCCATAGGTAATCCCCGAAGGTTGTCCACAGCAAGGTCAGAGCAGCAGCCTGGCCTCGGGCCACGTGGGGGTGGGTGCAGGGCACGGTGCCGGCCATAAGGCGGAGAGGCCGACCCCCTCCCGGGGACCAGACATGAAGCCTGGGGAGGAGTTTGTTTAAACACCAGGGAAGTGAACTGTTTAGAAACTAACAGTTTGGCCAAATGGCTTTCCTTGGGGTTGTCTAAACAAATAGCCGGCCTCACAGCGCTGCCAAGGAAAGTGAAACCTTCCCTCCCTGGCTGGGCAGCAGTCTCTGGAGCCTCCTCCTTGGGGGGCTCCTGGCTGCGCCCCTTCCTCCCTGCACACACACACCCAGGCAAGAAGGCAGCATCTCGGCCTCACGGCCAAGCCTGGGCCGCAGGGCACAGGCCGGGTCGGACATGGCCTTCCTGGCAGAGGGTGTTCAGACCTGAGGGGTGGCCTGATGTCATCCCCCCACACACACACTCCCTGCCGACATCCACCCAGGCCAAGCGCCCTCCACCCCAGGCGCCATCCCTGTGCCAAGCCTGGGATCACAGACCAGGTGAGACACAGAGAGGGGCAGCTGTAACACACGGCCACAAACTGGGGGGCTTATACCAGCAGAAACGGACTCCCTCACAGTCTGGAAACCGCAAGTCAAACATCAAGGTCTGGCAGGCCGCGCCCTCCGCAGGCTCCAGGGGAGGGTCCCTCCCGCCTCTCCCAGCTTCAGGGGGTCGCCGGCCACGCTGCCGCTCCACTCCTGGGCTCGCGGCGGCCTCACTTCTCTCTGCCTCCATCTGCACGCGGCCTCCCCCCCACGTGTCTGTGTCTACGTTTCCCCCTTACAAGGTCACCAGCCGCTGGGCTGAGAGCCCACCCTCATCCGTGTGACTATCTTAACTGGGTTGCATCTGAAAAGACCCTCTTTCCAAGCCAGGTCACCTTCACAGGTTCCGGGGGGGACACAATCCAACCCACGTCAGGCGGGGAACAGGGTGCGAAAGGAAAGGTTTCGCGGAAGCTCCGAGGGAGGGAACTCCGGGCAACAGCAACAGCCTGGGCAACAGCACGGAGGCCGAGCAGCAGTCCGCCTGCAGCTGGGGGCGGGGGCGAGGGGCAGGACGGGCACTGACCTATCAACGCCCCGCTTCAGGCCGTTCTGAGCAAGGCGGCCGGGGGCCCACCGAGGGTTTGAGTTGTCACACAGGCCACAGCTCTCCCAGGACGGCTCTGGGCGCAGGCCTGTCTTCGAGGACGCCTGGTGCACACGGCACGCTGCACACACCGCAGGACAACACACAACCCTGAGACAAGCGCCCGGCAGGAAGCCCGCGCATGTGTCCGCTGTGCCACCTCTGGACGGCCCAGGCCCGCCCTCTCGCCTCCAGCAGAAGCCCGAACGTGTTCTCTGCAAAGGGCAGGAGATGATCCTGGGCCTTTGACTGTCTCCACCACAGGCACCCAACACTTTCATTGTGGCCCCGAAGCCGCCACAGGCGATGCGTAAGCAGAAGTGTGCGAACGTCCTCTGTGGACACTGACTGTGAATGTCCCATCCTGTCCCACGTCACAAAACCTTCTCCCTGGGATTCTTTATTTTTGCACGCACATGTAAAAAACGTCAAAACCATCTTAACTCCCAGGCTGCACAGAAACAGGCAGCGAGCCTTCTGCCCACAGGCAGTTTGCTCACCCTCGTGTGAAAGGTACGTGACTTCACAATAGCAGAGTGTAAATTCTAGTGACTGGAACTGTGTAAGAGGGAGGCTGGATTCAGAGAAATCGCCCATACCCTTCCCTCTATTTTCCTGTAAACCAAAAGCTGCTTCAAAATTAGAGTCTATTAATTTTTTTAAATAAAGGCAGGTAAGTCAATAAGAAAACCACCCAAACCCCAGCAATGCTCAGGCGAAGACCATAAACACAAACTAACAGGAGAAAGAGCACAGGTGGTAAACGTGAGCAACGAGGCACCTCTCGGAAAAATGCAAACAGGAGAGGCC